GAACCTGTTCTGGATTTTGCCTTTTTTTCCTCCTCTCCCCATTGATTCCAGCTTGTGAACCTGTATTTTGTTTCCCTGTTTTCCCCTCGCAGATATTCTGTTCACGATCATATGATGCCACCACCCACTTTGAGACAACATGTGATGACATCAAAGACATTTACCGGCGCATGGCTGGGGCTCCATTTGACTTTGAAAGCATGAAACGGCGCCAGAATGATGTCTTTGGCGAGAACGAGCAGTGACCATTTCCTTTCTCTTTCCCCTGAACCCCACCCTCCCTGGGTTTTTCCCATGTAAGGGACCACACTCCCAGCTAGGGACTGGCTTAATTCCCACACCTCACTGAGATTGGCTCTTCCTCCAGATCCTCATTCAGGCTATGCCAGACGTCTAGTAACTTCTTTCCTTGTAAGTCACAAGGAAAAAAATTGTAGAATAATTTTCTTCTTCTTTCCCCCTTCTGCTTTTTTCTGCGTGCAAGAACAAGATAACCCTCTCTCCAAGACTGAGGTTGGATCAAATTGATGCAATCTCAATCCTTTGAAGACAAGCCTCTTTCAGTTTTTCCAGTGCCTGTAGGGATTTGGGTCCAGATTATGTATTACATAGAATTGCATGGGATTGAATTCTGCCCCCTCGTAGGAAAAAGCACCTTTGGACACAGGGGATTCTGCCTACTTTTCTGTTGCAAACTCCTTCTTTCTCCCTGTGGGTTCCATGAATATAAGCAAAGGTAAATACATACCTGAGAGGAGGCAGAATTAAGTACACCTATTACTTTTTCATTGTAGGTTGCCCCATTGCTAGTCTGTTCTAATTGAGGAAAAGAAAAACAGCCACTAGGATGTAAAAGCATGCATGTAACATATATTTTGGCCTTAATTCTTGCTATTGATCTCCAGCTGTTACCAACTGCTCACCCTTCTTCATTCTGTTTCCCCTCCATTTGCTGGACGTTCTCATCTCTGCCAGCTGTGCCCGTCCTACTCCTCTGAGCCTTGCATTTCTCCCTTCCGGTGCATAGTGAATCAGCTTGCTGCTTAACTTGCAGTGGACCATCTGGGACCATATCTCGCCATACGTATAATCAGTCTTTCCTCATTTTCCCATTTCTCCTGATCATGATGTGAACCTGCATTCCTCTGTTTTGAGAGGAGACTGGAATAGTGTGAGGATGTGGGGGCACAAAGAGCCATTCTGAACCATCTCTTCCACACATGCTGCCCCTGCAGCTGGTCCCATGCCCCCCACCTTGCCACTTCAGATTCCCACAGGCCTCTCTGTCTTGCGTCTATTTTGTCCCCTCAACTCCTCTTAGTTTCTTTAGCCTCAAGCGTGAGAAGATTTGTATGTGTATGTGTGTATGTCTCTTGTGTGCTGGACATAGGGACAAGGAGATGATTCTGTCCCTTTCCACTTGCTGCCACCTGCTGTAACTTATTGTAACTTATTAATGAAGCAGGTTAAACTTTTGTTGGCACTTCTGACAATTAATGAGGTTTGGGTGGGGGTTAGGCTCTGGCATGAGTAAAGAGGCCTGGGGCCTGCCCTGCATCAGAGCCTTCCTTCCTTCTGAAGCCAGCTTTATGGTTAACAATCTGTCTGTAACTCTAGGGGGATGTGAGGGGTCAGCTCTCTCTACCCCACAGCTGCTCAGTTGTCTCAAGATAATAAATACACTTAGTCTAGCCCTGGCTCTTGTCTGGTACCATTGCTGCAGAGAAAAGATGGGGCGGGAAGCAGGGGAGTAAAGTCCAGGCCTAAACTCACCAAAGAGGGAAGACACCACATCAGATTCCGGAAATGGAAGAAAAATAAAAGAATTTCAGAGAAGCACCTCAATTTGGTCATGTAACTTTTCTGAAGGAGTGGCACTATAAAATAAACCCAGGGTGTTTTGAATGATAAAAATTTACTATTTTTGTGTAGCTGATTCTGGCTTCAGACTGTCACATAATGCACCTTTTCTGCTGTTGAACTCTTGAGGCGAGGGAGAGATGCTAAGACAGCATGGGATTGTGTACAGATTCGTACAGCCAGTACCTTGATCTCCTCTCACTTTCCCCAAACCAAAACCATTGGAAATTGTGCTTGGACCCATCTGGCTTAGAAAAATTGAAAGACTAGTCATACTGCATCCATTTTGCTAGTCCGGATACAGCACCAAGAACCAAAAGCTTAGAACGAACTGCAGGATTTGGAAAAACAGCCTCAGTCCTAACTTTATTTTGTATTTAATGCTGTTGTCTTAGTGGTACTCCATATCTAATATGACTGCTGTTCAGTTTCAGTACTAGTACTGCCACTGCCACCATTTCAACCACTTTAATGTCCTTAGCCTAATTGATTTACACCTCTTTTCAAGTGTAGATGGAGGCAAGACTGGTGTTCCACTGCTAAACCAATCACTGGAAGTAGTTCTTAATATTTTCTTTGCTTGGTTCTCCTTTACAAATAACTTAAAAGTTCTATTTTCCCTGCAGATCCCTCCTACTAAGCCTTTTCTTCCTATTATTCTCCGCCCCCCAGCTATACAGTTGTAAAACCTGGGTAGCACTAAATAAAATGACCATGGAAGGCATTTCAAGATGTCTCCCACTGAATCTCTTTATTCATTGGGGGGAAAAAACATGCAGCTGAAGGTGATGTACTTCCAGGGAGTCCCCCAGGTCAAGAATGCCTGGGTTACAGATGACCCATAGTTAAGAATGGAGCCTATTGCAGCAAAATTTGAGTTAAATACAAAATGATTCGAGTTAAATACACAATGGTTCATTACACAATACTACTTATATAGCATAATACCACCTTACATACAAATTTGACCAAAGGACAGATCTTGGGAATGGAACTTGGTCTTAAACTGGGGACTACCTGTAGCTCTGTCCTCAGAGATGCTCTATATGGGCTAGGTTTTCATTATTCTGGCACAGTTGCTATACTGCTATACGTTAAAATATGTTAAAAAGAAATCTGCAGGTCTAGCTTTAGTGATTATTTCAATTAAAACTTAAGTATTGCCCTCTGAAAATATTTGGTGCAGGACTTTGAATATACAACTAGCATAAAGGTACCTGCTGAGGTCAATCAGATTGATTCAGATACCAGACTTTAAAATGACAACTTTCTACTTGATCAATAAAAAATAGTGAATGTGTATCACTTCTGTATGTATTGGCAACTTTGGCACCGTATGGGGAAGCTGAACATCTTTAATACAGCAAAGAAGGAATATTTCAGACAATTTCTGTAAGCAATCACTGCAAACAAATTTCAAATAAGTAATGTAAAGGATTCCAGAAAGCATTTTTCCCAACAGAATTGTTTCCAAATAATACATCTCATTTAAGGCTCATTGGAATACATCCATTCATATTGCATAGTACGATCCTCTGGGAAGAATTTCCGAAGTTCGGCAGCTCAGCTTCCTTAAGGTTATTTGTTCCTTTTCTTTACCCTTTCTGACCAATGAGTGGATAGCTACAACCACGATACTAACACTTCTTTAAAAAGGGAAATTCACAGAGTTCTCACTGCTAATTCCTAGCTGCAGTTAATAGCCTCCTCCACGCAGGCAGTAACGTTGGTAGAAGAGCGTCGGGCTTAGCGGCTGGGTTCTCAGATCACATTATACGGCAGCGTGTTTATCAATCTACAATCGGCTTCATGCGTCATCCAATTCACCAGGTTCGTGTATCCTGCTAAACCAGTGTTGTCCAAACTTGGTCACTTTAAGATGAGTGGACTTCAACTCCCAGAATT